ATCCACATGTTCTTTGGATGGATCTGACAAGGGTTGATTTGTCTGAGAAGGGTCGGAGACTGCTAATTTGCAGAATATATAACCGATTCACAAGGCGAGTGGAAGCAACTCCTTTCGAATGTATTGTTCACATGGTCAATGAATGGGATAATTTGTTATTCCTGGCTGCTTGATCCAGAAGGGTTCATACAGCCATGCTCATCCGACTCTTCTTTTAGAATAGTCTGAAGAAGATTGCTTGCCTGGAAGGCTAGGAGACTTCTCCGTGACAGAATAGATAATCTCTTCACAGTGTGAGTGGAAACACTCCTTTAGAGTGTATTGCCCTTATGTGACAACCTGTTAGGTGACATCTTTATCCTTGGTTGCTCAAAGCAGTATTCATGCAGTAATTTCCATCCACATCATCCACTCTAAAGAGGGATGCTTTGCCTGGGAAGACTAGGCAGCTTCTCATTGCAAAAAGCAGATAAACGTTTCAAAAGGTAAGTGGAAACCATTCCTTTAGAGTGTATTGACAATGTGTTTATTGAATGTAACATCCTGTTAGGTGTTATCATCTATCCCTGGCTGCTTAAACCAGCAGGATACATAGTAATGCTTGTCCTCATCTTCCTCTTCATAGAGTCTGAAGAGGCTGTCTTGCCTGGCACGGTTATGAGACTTCTAATTGCCTGAACATATAACCTTTTCACAAGGTTAGTGGAAACAGCTCACTTTGAGTGCACTGGCCACTTGTTTAATGAATGTGACAACATGTTGAATGTCATCATTCTCATTTGTGGCTGCTTGAACAAAGAAAGATTCGTATTGTCATGTTTATCTGTCTTTTCCCCTTTGGAGAATCTGAAGAGATAGTTTTGCCTCAGAAGGTGATGAGACTGCTCATTTTTAAAACACATAACCAGTGGTGGACTGACAACTCATGAGCAATAGGGGATCATGGGGCCCCTGTGTCCTTGCCCACACTCAAAAAAGCCTATAAAAAAGGAACCAGGGGCATTTCATGGGGCCCCTTACTGACCCCAGGCCCTCGGGCATTGCCCGAGTGCTCGAATGGTCAGTCCGCCCCTGCACATAACCCATTCACAGGGTGAGCGGAACACTTACATTCATGTTCATCCCACACTCATGTTCATCTGTGTCTTCTTTTTTGAAAAGTCTGAAGAGGGTTGTGTTGCTTGGGAAAGCTCTGAGACTGCTCATTGCCAGACTAGATAATCCTTTCACAGGATTTTGCCTGCCCCTAAAGCAGCTAAAAAACAATAATTTAATATAGTAGAAAATAGATTGCTTAGTAACAAACCCTTAAGGGTTAACCACTGCTAGAGGGATGTCAATACTGCAGCTTTCAACCACAGCCCTGAAGTCACCAGGTGGTTAATGAACCAAACCTCCCTCTGCCAGAGAACAGGACATGATGAAAATGTTTTTTATGAATAGCAACAAAAAGGTAGGAATCTGCAACAGAATTACAACAATATTTTGCAATACACAAACCATCCAAGTGAATAGTTGACATCAAAAAGACCTTCTCCTTTTGTTTTTTTTTTGTTTTTTGAGAAACTGGAAACAAATATTAAAGGGATGTCCTATACTTCAACAGGCAATACTGGCTACAGTAGTCATCCACAGGTGACTCCTCTACCTTCTCTGGAAATGCTGGTCTTTTGAGGGGGTTGGCATAATGACACAATAGTAAACCAAACATGAGAAGCCACCAACAGGTTAATGCCATGTGTGAACAAAGTATTACTTTGTACACCTGTTATGCAGAGTACAATCTGTGAAGGAGCTCAGGGTACGCACAGTGGCTGCAGGGAGCAAGGCACAACAATACCCAGCAATGTAGCATTCATTTGGATACAAAGCATTTTTACATATAGCTCACCCAAACTCTGCCATCTGACTGTAAACACTGGCACTGTGTGAGTGCCTAGGGGAGACTCTGCTGACACCACTGCCCATTTCACATGGACCCAGCTGACCCCAGACAAGGCTGCTAGCCATGATAAGAAAACCACCCCGAGGACCAGTAGCGGGGCTTCCTGGATTATGGGTCATTTATCCACTATTCCAGGGACCATGTCCATCTGAAGCCCACACACATTGACGGCCAGCCAGCCCTGTAGACCAGCCAGGTAGAGGAGCACACCTAGGTCCTGCACATGGGAGGAAAAAAGAGGAACGCTAAGGCTGCAGGTGTGCTCAAATTTATGAGTTAGGTCCTGGAAGCATGGGGGGACAGGGCCCTTACCCAGCTGTGCTGACATGGAGCTATCAGGAAAGTACAGTTTTAAGGTTATTTTTTAAATCTACATAGTCATTTCCCACTTTAATACATGCATCATTTTGATTAAAATATATGTGATAATGGAAACTAGCAATGTATGCACAATAATGCACAGAAATAGCTATTCTAGTATTGTTTAGTATTATTTGTATAGTGCTTAATAGCATAGATGTTCTTTTTCTCTGACAGATCTCTGAAATAAGGTGTGAAATGTCATTTCTGTAAAATGTTAAATTGTGCAGTTTAAAATACCATGCTGCAGGTCATTTGACTCTGAAAATGTCATTTATGTAAAAAGTAAATAAAAAAAATCCTTAACATTTCAGATTGTAATATTTGTAATATATTTTCTCATTTGAATAACCATAATAAATGTATTATGTTTAGCCTTTTGTATTCTATAAGAAGAGTTTACAACAACAGCTCATCAAGGGAATGTATAGTCTCTTCATTTTCTTTCCAATTATGCATGTAAAAAGGATAAGCTTGATGTAAATCTTATTAAAGGGTGGTAATATTTTAGTTCCTATCTATAATTTGTTAGGATGTATGTACACATGGACAGCCATATTTACTGTGTACATATACAGGTTCTGAATCATCCATTACATAGTGGTTATGCTTTCAAGGCACTTAAGCCTAGTACACACTATCAGAAAATCATCCAAAATATACCGCTTTCAAAGCTGTTTGTTAATACACGGCTTTCATCTGAAATTATTTGAAAGAGACAAACATGACACCAGATCATACTGGTTTTTGTCAAATTAAATTGGCAAAAAAGCTAATGTATCATTGTCGAAAGCGATTACTGTAGATTGGTTGACGTGTTTTGCGGGATCACCCACTTCATCAGGACCTTGGATCCTAAACACAAGTAAAACGAATACTAGAATTGTATTAAAAATACAAAATACATTAATAGAAAGTGATAAAAGATTACAAAATAATAATGATCATAAAAGTATCTACAGCCTTCTAGAGGAGAGGAAGAAAGGGAGTAATGTTGGGGTCCCTCAAGGCTCTGTCGGCCCCTTCTCTTCTCCATCTATACCTCCTCCCTTGGCCAACTCATACACTCTCACGGCTTCAACTACCACCTCTATGCCGACGACACACAAATCTATCTCTCAACCCCCCACCTCACCCCCTTGGTCTCAGCCCGAATCACACACCTACTGAGCGACATATCAGACTGGATGTCGCTCCACTTCCTTAAATTGAACCTCTCCAAAACCGAGTTTCTTGTCTTCCCCCCAGCCCGGACACCACCCCCCCCATTGATTTCTCCATCACATCCAACAACGCTACCATCAAACCCGCCCCGCAGGCCAGAGTACTGGGTGTCATTCTGGACTCCAACCTATCCTTCCAGCCCCAAGTCCAATCTTTAACAAACTCGTGCAGACTCCACCTCCGCAACATCGCCAAAATCCGCACGTTCCTAACCCCAGAAACCACTAAACAGCTCATCCACTCCCTCATCATATCACGACTCGACTACTGCAACTCCCTCCTCACTGGCCTGCCTCGCCGCTGGCTATCCCCTCTTCAGTCCATCCTGAATACGGCTGCCAGACTCATTCACCTTTCCAACCGCTCTGTCTCCGCCACCCCCCCTCTGCCAATCCCTCCACTGGCTTCCGATTGCGCAACGGATCAAATTCAAAATCCTAACGCTGAAGTACAAAGCTGTCCACCATACTGCCCCGTACTACATCTCTGACCTAATATCCAAGTACCGCCCAACACGCACACTCCACTCCTCACAAGACCTCCTTCTCTCTAGTTCCCTGGTCTCCTCCTCCCATGCCCGCCTCCAGGACTTCTCCAGGGTGTCACCCATCCTCTGGAACTCCCTGCCCCAACCCATCAGATTATCACCTACTCTCCTCTCCTTTAGGCGCACCCTGAAAACCCATCTCTTCAGGGAAGCCTACCCCACCCCCTGCTAACTTGCCGACCTCCTCCACTCTTCCAACCACTCCTTCCCCCACAGCTATCTCCTCCTGTGCCACCACCCCCTCCCTCCTAGATTGTAAGCTCGAAAGAGCAGGGCCCTCGATCCCCTCATGTTTTGCATTGTATTGGTATTGTTCTGTCACATGTTCTGTCTCCCTTTGTAATGTACAGCGCTGAGCGAACTATTGGCGCTTTATAAATACTGTATAATAATAATAATAATAATAATGATGTAAATAACCCAATTCTATGCCTAGTTCTTAATGTTACGAGTTCTTAATGTTACGAGCAGGGCCCTCTGATTCCTCCTGTATTCAATTGTAACTGTACTGTTGGCCCTCACATTGTAAAATGCGCAAACTGTTGATGCTATATAAATCCTGTATAATAATAATAATAATTATGGGGGAAGTTATGTATGTTCACAACATGCTTTGCGGTACTACGCAATGCTGGTGCTTTACTTCTCAATCACATGATGCAAGTCTACAAGTCAGCTATCAATAAAACAGTTGATAAGGGAGAGACAGAGTGATCCAATGAGAGTTTACCAGTTGCATTTACATTTATCTCTATAGGTTAATTAAATATAAATCCTGCTGAAGATTTAATTTGTTAGTCATTGTTTATCACTTATAATTGCCATTTTTTTTAATTAACCACTTCACCTTTCATACCTCTACACAACCTATGGATCAGGGCAATTTCTAAATTTCTGCTATGGGTTTATTGATAATAAGTTCGTCAATACCTTAGATCAGGCATTGAAATTTCCACTCGCCTGCTCGCATTGGCGAGTGGAAATAAGGTGGGGGCGAGTGTGTCCCCAGGGCCGTCTTGCTGAGCAGGCTCGGGACTCAGGGCCAGCTCTGTCACTCCCACTGGGAGCCGTCAGACTGCTCAAATGTTGAGCAAAGTGAAAGCAAACGAAGGAGTGTGCTGTGCTCTCTGCCTCCCCCTAGAGTGCAGTACCCAGCTCTGTGAGTGAAGGTAACAAAGTACTGCAACTTTCTATAGGGCTGTGTACATGTGTATTTGTATGTGTGTACATGTGTGTATGTACATGTATCTGTGTGTGTCTGTGTATGCGTGTACATCTGTGTGTATGTACATGTGTATCTGTACATGTGTCTGTACATGTATGGGTGTGTGTACATGTGTCTGTGTGCATGTACATGTGTGTGTGCATGTACATCTGTGTGTATGTATGTACATGTGTCTGTGTGTACGTGTGTCTGTGCGTGTATTATGGTGTATGTACATGTGTCTGTGTGTCTATACAGGTGTCTGTGTGTCTGTACATGTGTCTGTGTGTGTATACATGTGTCTGTGTGTGTGTGTGTGTGTACATGTGTCTCTGTGCGTGTGTGTACATGTTTCTGTGTGTGTGTATGTATGTACAGTGGGGATCGAAAGTTTGGGCACCCCAGCTAAAAATTTGTATTAATGTACATAAAGAAGCCAAGGAAAGATGGAAAAATCTCCAAAAGGCATCAAATTACAGATTAGACATTCTTCTAATATGTCAACAAAAGTTAGATTTTATTTCCATCATTTACACTTTCAAAATAACAGAAAACATAAAAATGGCGTCTGCAAAAGTTTGGGCACCCTGCAGAATTTATAGCATGCACTGCCCCCTTTGCCAAGCTGAGACTTGCCAGTGTCATGGATTGTTCTCAATCATCGTCTGGGAAGACCAGGTGATGTCAATCTCAAAGGTTTTAAATGCCCAGACTCATCTGACCTTGCCCCAACAATCAGCACCATGGGTTCTTCTAAGTAGTTGTCTAGAAAACTGAAACTGAAAATAGTTGACGCTCACAAAGCTGGAGAAGGCTATAAGAAGATAGCAAAGCGTTTTCAGATGTCAATATCCTCTGTTCGGAATGTAATTAAGAAATGGCAGTCATCAGGAACAGTGGAAGTTAAAGCAAGATCTGGAAGACCAAGAAAAATAACAGACAGAACAGCTCGCAGGATTGTGAGAAAAACAATTCAAAACCCACGTTTGACTGCACGATCCCTCCAGAAAGATCTGGCAGACACTGGAGTTGTGGTCCACTATTCCACTATAAAGAGATACTTGTACAAATATGGTCTTCATGGAAGAGTCATCAGAAGAAAACCTCTTCTACGTCCTCACCACAAAAATCATCGTTTGAACTTTGCAGATGAACATATAGACAAGCCTGATGCATTTTGGAAACAAATTCTGTGGACCGATAAGGTTAAAATTGAACTTTTTGGCCGGAATGAGCAAAGGTACGTTTGGAGAAGAAGGGGCACAGAATTTAATGAAAAGAACCTCTGTCCAACTGTTAAGCATGGGGTTGGATCAATCATGCTTTGGGGTTGTGTTGCAGCCAGTGGCACAGGGAATATCTCACGAGTAGAAGGAAAAATGGATTCAATAAAATTTCAGCAAATGTTGGATGGTAACTTGATGCCATCTGTGAAAAAGCTGAAGTTAAAGAGAGGATGGCTTCTACAAATGGATAATGATCCTAAACACACCTCGAAATCCACGGGGGATTACATTAAGAGGCGTAAACTGAAGGTTTTGCCATGGCCTTCACAATCTCCTGACCTCAACATCATTGAAAATCTATGGATAGACCTTAAAAGAGCAGTGCGTGACAGACAGCCCAGAAATCTCAAAGAACTGGAAGACTTTTGTAAGGAAGAATGGGCAAAGATACCTCAAACAAGAATTGAAAGACTCTTGGCTGGCTACAAAAAGCGTTTACAAGCTGTGATACTTGCCAAAGGGGGCAGTACAAGATATTAACTCTGCAGGGTGCCCAAACTTTTGCAGACGCCATTTTTTTGTTTTCTGTTATTTTGAAAGTGTAAATGATGGAAATAAAATCTAACTTTTGTTGACATACTATAAGAATGTCTAATCTGTAATTTGATGCCTTTTGGAGATTTTTCCATCTTTCCTTGGCTTCTTTATGCACATTAATACAACTTTTTAGCTGGGGTGCCCAAACTTTCGATCCCCACTGTACATGTCTGTCTGTGTGTACAGGTGTTTCTGTTTGTGTGTGTGTGTATGTACATGTGTCTGTATGTAAACCTACATGTATGGGTGGTTTGGTCAGGTTCAGGATGATGTGGTTATTATGGGTGGTAGAGTATGGGGCATTCGAGGTACTGCTGGGTTGGATAGTAGGTAGGATATGCTTGGTAGAGTTATGGTTTTGTGAGTGAAAGATTATGGGGGCTTATGGTTGTATGTGGTGCATGGTCTAAGTATGATGGAGTGTTTAGGGGGACATTGGAGGCCCTGATGTAATGTGGGGGAACTCTGGGGACCCTGATGTAATGTGGGTCACATTAACTGTGTAATTTCATGGAATAATTTATGAGGGCGTGGTAAGGGGCGGAATTAGGGTTATAACAGGGTAGGGGTTGGGTGGGGCAACTGGTGGTGAGTAACTCTTAAGGCCTGGCTAGTAGCTCAGGACTTGAAATTTTGAGCCCTGCCTTAGATAACTAAGTAAGAAAAATATAATTTTTTAGAACCGGCTTAATTTTTACTTTTATCTTTAGTTTTATCTTATTTTACTTTTATCATTATTTTTACTTTCACTTTTTATCTGTTATTTTCCTTTTTTATGCTTTATTTTTTAACTGTTATTTGTTATTTTTCACTTTTATTATTTATTTTTTTTTTATATTTATATTTTTCATTTTTCTATTTTCTTTTTCATTTTCCTCTTCTTTTTTTCCCTTTTTTTCTTTGTTTTTTATATTTTATTTATCCCCATTTACATTCTCATATTTTTAATGTATCTTTTCTTTTTTGGTTATTTAATATTTCGTAGTCATATGGGTTTGCCTCCCCTCTTTTTTCAAAACTGATCACTTCCTGCACCATGTTCTACACTTATTTCTGCCTCCCTCTGTGTTTTCCTGCGATACCCACTAGACGGTATGTATTATAATACCACCTGGCATCTGGCATTACACCGGCATTATCGGTTTCCATGGCTCTTAACGGCCAGCACATTTACTGTTGTGTGCACTGAATAGCGCCATTGTTGGATGGCACACACACCTCCACTGGTGCCTGGCACTACATTTAACTGTCAGGATTGAGTTCAAGCTACTGATGTTCCCAAACACATTTAACCACACTTCAACAGTATTTTTTGCAATTTTATGATCAGCTCTGTACTACTCATGGAATCTTTGGGTTACATCAGTGGTCGGCAAGCCGCGGCTCGCGAGCCACATGCGGCTCTTTACCCACTCTAATGCGGCTCTTCTGTGTGCCGGGCGCCCGCTCCCCTCCCTCCTCTCGGTCGGCCCGCTCCCTTGCCTCCTCTCGGTTGGCCGCCCCAAAAGTCCGCGCGGACCTTTTAATCCGGCCCGCGGATGTGGCTGTCAGGATGTGTGTAGGCGGGGCAGCGTGCCGAACGTGAGGGGAGGGGAGCTAGGCTCCTCTCACAGTCCGCCCTGAAGACCCGAACGGCGCGGGAAGACAGCGAGAGGAACGCGCGGAACAAAGGTAAGTGAATTGACACAGGGGGGACTTGGCTTACTAGAAGGGGGGGGGGAATAGTACTGTGGGGGATGAAATACTATATGAGGGATGAAATACTATATGAGGGATGAAATACTATATGAGGGATGAAATACTATATGAGGGATGAATTACTATATGAGGGATGAAATACTATATGAGGGATGAATTACTATATGAGGGATGAATTACTATATGGGGGGGATGAATTACTATATGGGGGGATGAATTACTATATGGGGGGATGAAATACTATATGGGGGGATGAATTACTATATGGGGGGATGAATTACTATATGGGGGATGAAATACTATATGAGGGATGAATACTATATGAGGGATGAAATACTATATGAGGGATGAATTACTATATGGGGGGATGAATTACTATATGGGGGGATGAATTACTATATGGGGGGATGAAATACTATATGGGGGATGAAATACTATATGAGGGATGAATTACTATATGAGGGATGAAATACTATATGAGGGATGAATTACTATATGAGGGATGAAAATACTATATGGGGGGATGAAATACTATATGAGGGATGAATTACTATATGAGGGATGAAATACTATATGAGGGATGAATTACTATATGAGGGATGAAATTACTATATGAGGGATGAAATACTATATGAGGGATGAATTACTATATGAGGGATGAATTACTATATGAGGGATGAATTACTATATGAGGGATGAATTACTATATGGGGGGATGAAATACTATATGGGGGGATGAAATACTATATGAGGGGATGAATTACTATATGAGGGATGAAATACTATATGAGGGATGAATTACTATATGGGGGATGAAATACTATACGGGGGATGAAATACTATACGGGGGATGAATTACTATACGGGGGATGAATTACTATACGGGGGATGAATTACGATGGGGGATGAATTACTATATGGGGGATGAATTACTATGGGGGATGAATTACACTATGGGGGATGAATTACTATGGGGGATGAATTACTATATGGGAGATGTATTTTCAGTTTTAAAAATGTGGCTCTCAAAATAAATTTCAATCATGGTTTTGGCGAGATTTGGCTCAGTTGAAAAAAAAGGTTGCCCACCACTGGGTTACATGAATGTGTTTTTTGTGTTTGTTAGTTAGAATATTTGACAATTATGTCATTTTTTTTTTAATAATGTGTTTATAGCAGGCTTATGACATTATTATGACACCATGGCCAATTCTCTGCTCATTGATTGGTGGATGGTTCTTTAAATATTAGTTTGTCTTGCACTGCACATGTCACATGATTGTGTATGGGTGTGAATGGGCCCTGCAAGACTCCAAAACGTTGCTTCTATATATTTTTAGTTAAAATTGCAATATGATATGATCACACCGTTCTGGAGATCCTTGGTGTGCTGGTGACATTTCTCAGGTTGACATGGCAGGTATTATTTTAATGAAAGCTTCAGATTAAAAAAAGACTGAAAAGACTTCTGAAGTTAAAAAAACATGGAGAACATTAAATTAGATTTAGATTTATGATAATACAATAACAAAAGCATTAAATATCAACTATGTAAAATGTGAAAGTCCTATCAAAATTATTTTAACATAAATGTGGCAGCAATACTTAATATGAGCTCTTTATGCTTTCCTGTTAACATCAGAGGTGACATATTCATATTTTTTACTGA